CATGAGATCATGACCTGAGCCAAAATCAAGAGTTGGATGCCTAACAGACTCAGCCACCCAGGGGCCCCAGATTACTATATTTTTTTAATCACTTGGGCTGACTGGAAGCTCTGACATTTTCAGTGTGGGGCTTCCAAGATCTCCTTGGGCGTTGACATTTGCGGTCAGACAGTGGGAAAGAGAATGAGAGAACAGGAGCCTGGATATTGTGAACATCATTCACCCATATTATATTCATCAGAACTCAGTCATAGGGCTTCTTAACATATAAGGAGATGGGAAAAGGTGAGTGACCTCCCAGTAGAAACACTTCATTAGAGAAGGAGGGCATGAATATTTGGTGAAAAGGTAGACATGTCTGCCATACTTACATTCTCTTGAGTGCAGTGAGAATAAGGTGCAGACAATAAACATGCAAAGTAAGTATATTGTATAGTATTTTGGATGATAATAAGGAAAAAAAGTCAGGTGAGAGGAATAGGAGGTGCAAAGAAGTTGTGAAAATAACTTTCCTTAAATGGCGACTCATTGGGCCAATATTGTCTACAGAGCAAATGTAAGTTGATCCTTTACAAGAGTTACAAGTTAGGACTCTCTTTCCTGAGTTGTGCTGGAGCAGCTGAGATTGGAAAGAGAGACCTTAGATTCGGTCCAGACAAGCCCATACTGTCATCACCACAAATGTCCCCGGGGTAACAGAGATTATTGAGTACAAAAGACGCTATCAAAAAACATAACAGATGCAGACAGATAAAGTGGATTTAAATTGCTTCTGGATTTTTTCTATTCCTTGAGCTTTTGTGTGCCTGCAGTAACTGACCCAGGGTGAAATTCAGATGCTTTGTTTTAGTTTTGACTCTGTTTCTTTTTCAATAATACCAAATTTTTGATTCTAGAAGGATCTACTTCTCAGATGAGTACAGAATATCAAGGGTTGATTTCCTCCAAAGTAATAAAGGATTATTTGTTGCTAAGGAATACTAGCTGGTTACCTAATATCAACAATAGAGTAGAAGGTTAGTTGGAAAGGAGTTGATGAAGGAATTGAATGTTGCTAATGATATGGAAGAAAGTTCTGTATTCAATAAGAGTCAGGGGGATCTAGTGGGTACTATGCTACATGAAAAAAGTCAGATTCAGAAAGACATCTACCATATGATTTCACTTATATGGGGAATCTAAACACACAAAATAAGTGAACACACAAACAAACAAAAAGAATCAGATCTATAAATACAGAGAACTGATGGTTGCCAGAGGGGAGGGCGGTAGAGGGAAGGGCAAAATGGGTGAAGGGGAGTGGGAGGTGCACGCTTCTGGTTATGGAATGACTAAGTGATGGGGGTGAAAGGGACAGCATAGGGAATGAAGTCAATGATATTGTAATGGTGTGGTATGGAGACAGATGGGGGCTACACGTGTGCTGAGCACAGCACAGTATATAGAGCCATTTAATCACTATGTTACACTCCTGAAACCAATGTAATCTGTGCCGACTATACTAAAAAAAAAATCTAGTGGATCAAGAAAAAAAGTCAGGGGCTTAGACAGTTCTGAAAATTCAACCCATTCCTTGCATTGTGGGCTCAATCCAGGAAGCATGTTTTGGTCCTTCTTGCACACTTGGCACTATGCAAGGCACCAGCGATACAGCAGTAAACGCAGTTCTGCTCCCCATCCCGGGGAGCCCCACCCGGGCTTGGAAGAAAGACACTTCACCCACCAGAAGGGTGGGTTCCAGCTGGACCGAGAAGGGCCCTGAATGTCATGCTGACAATCCTGCGCTTATGCTCCAAGGTTGGTGAAGAACCGTCAGAGAGCTGTTTTCTGTGCTGGGGAGGGGGTAAGAGGCAAGCGTGCAGTGGGATTACTGGCAAGTCAGCCTCTTTGACCCTCATTTTCTTTGTCTGGAAAGAGAAGATAATAATAATTCCCTGCCCATCTTGCAGCGCTGTTCTAAAGATCAAATGAAATCATAGTATGCTATTCCGGTGTCAAGAACTGTGATTAGGGCTGGCTAATAATCTAGAAGTCTGGAAACACAGGGAAGACAGCTGCTGCACCGCGATGCTCTGGGAGGATAACATCTTGTATCCTCCAGCATGGGCATATCTAGGAGGGAAACCAGTCTTGGTAAAAAAACAAAAAGCAAACTAGTAAAAAAAGAAAATATACCCAACCCACCAAAACCCAAGTAATGGAATATTTTGAAAGAAGAGTAATTCTTTTTTTCTTTTCAAGTGAAGTTTGTTGCAAGTGAAAAAAAAAAAAAACAAAAACAGAAAATGCACCCTTCCAAAGCAATAGAGGCTCGACAGCTGTTGTCTGGCGCTGACCAGACTACCAGAGAATATCCAAAAATTCTCCTGAATTGCTATTCCTCCAGGGCGTGCTCAGACCCAAGGAGTTCACTGTTTCAGAATTAAGGACTTCTCTGGGCACTGTTTTCCTTCTTCACTCATGTGATTTCCTGCAAGTGTTGTTCCCTGAGGGAAGATGCTTTTGTTTAGGAGGACTCAGAGCTTATTTGGCTTCTCTGTGGACTTTGAGATTCACGTGCCAGTATAGCACCTATTATAAACCAAGGCATCCCTCAGGGAAAACAGGACAAGCCCATGTAACATAAGCTGTACTGGCCCTATTTCAAGCCCTGAAATCCCATTTATTCAGCTCAAATTTGAGAATTCATCCCAACATCGAAAGCATATACAGGAGGTCTTCAGCTTGGGGGAAAATGTTTATTTTGGACTGTTTTCTTCTCATTTGTGCCATGTTGAAAAATTACAGAGAAGGAAATGGTCATTGTTATTGTGTTGGATAATGAGTAACCGTAGAAGTCAAAGTTTTGCCAAATCTCATTATTACTGAGATAAACTAGTTACTACAGTTATACAGAAATAAAATCTGAATGGCAACAAAGGCCCTTATTAAACATTTATTTCACTTTTGTTTTTTTAATGCTCACATTAACAGAGGAATTTCACCTCTAGAAAAGAGAAAGAGGCTGAAGGACGACTGCCTAAACTATGTCTCATTCAATTCTTACCAGACAGGATTCTTACAAAGTAGGCAGGTGACCCCATTTCTTAGATGAGATTGAGACCAAGAGAGTGATTTTTGCCAAAGGTCACACAGAAGTGGTAGAGTCATTATTTAAGCCTGACTACCTAACCCTCAACACTGAGCTCCTTCCTCAGCACTCCACCTTCACCTTGAGAGTCTCCTGGGACTTTGGCCCCAGTCTAGCCAGGAGGAAGTAGAGGGCTTGCAAAACTGGTTGGATCAGTGGATAGAGGAAAAAGCCTCTCCACCACAGAGAATGTGAGTGTGGTTTGGGAGTACTGACCTATTATGAAATAGCACCCACACTCAGCCCCTCTACCTCTCCCCACCTCCTTCCTTCTTCCTTTTGGAGGGGGGTTTCTCATTCTTGCCTCTACTGACATTTTAAGACCAGATAATTCTTTGTTGCATGTGTGTGTGTGTATCTGTTGGGAGGGGTGGTCCTCTGTTGCAGGGTGTTGAGTAGTATACCCAGCTTCTTATCTACTAGATGTCAGTAGCATCTCTCAGTCATGATAACAATATGGGACTATCTCCTCTAACTAATCCCTCGGTTAAGAACCATTGTTTTATGGTGACCAATCATCCCAGTTTGCCCTGGACTGAGATATTTGTTATGGTTTCAGTGTTTAAAACAGGATAGTTGGGACTTAACGGAGATGCCTGGTCACCCTACATGTGAGATTTCATCTCCTGCTTAAATAAAGTCTGTGGAGCAAGAGGGCGTTGTGTTAACAATGTCCCAGCAGTCTGCAGTTTCACCGAGCTGTTGCTACACCGACTGCTTCTACCTAATACTCCTTTCTTCCCCTGTGTAGCCTGCGAGGGGAGCAGGGGAAGCGACCTACTGCAGAGAGACTGACTGAGTAGCCAGGTAGGTTGTTACAGGACTGAAGAAGACGGGAGGGAACACTTGTGCGTGTGGGCATGTGTGTGTGAGCTGGGAGGCGCAGGTGAGTAATAACCACAGAGAGCTTATCGGTGCTGCCCAGGTGGGCAGTGTTCACGTGTGTTCACACCAGGAATTAACGGATATTGGACGGGGGGGAAGATTTTCAGCTCTGCGTTAACTTAGCCTATGCCTGTGTGGTGTGGGTGTTTTAGTTTATTTGCTACTTTGAAATATTCTTCTGAGTTACTCTGACAGCCAATGAAGGGCCCTTCCCTGAGAGAAACAAACAAAAGAAAAACTTCAAATTGGTTTGTTATCAGGATAATTTCTGTGGTGCTGTTGAGAATACATGTGCGATAGGAATAAATACTTTGGTTCTTGGGAAACTCACCAAATATTACTGGAACATATCATTTGTCTGGCAGCCTTCTCAGCTCATGGGGTCATGCAAATACCCATGTAGAGAATGAAAACAGCTGAATTCCCAAGACACCAATGCTGAGGTTAAATGCTAGGTTTTGCTGCTGGATCTCTGGGCCCCATGGCTTGTGACCTGCGTGGTCGCAGGTGGTGGGAGAATGAATCCTTTGTCTAAGTGCTGAGTCTGGGTTGCTATAAACCTCAATGGTGAATTGACAAGTGTGGACGTGGAGGGTGTGAATCACTTCAATCCTTGTGGCTCTGCCCAGGGCCCTGCCTCCTTCTCTGCTTCAGCAGTGGGGAGATGAAGCAGGTTCCATGAGGTCAGTGCTAATACAGCAGGTCACCTGGCAGGAAGGCCCTCCCCTCGCTGGTTCCTGCATGGGCCTTCCGCTCTGCTCTTTGACACAGATGTTGGGAGGGCGATTTGCCGTGTGGGAGTGTTTTTATTTTCCTTGATTATGTAAACCGGTAGCTTTTTCCAAGAACACCTTGTGCCCTGAAGCTCTAGGCTGATTTCTTCCCGTTGGCTGGCCAGGTTTCATTTTACTGGAAAGTGTATTTTTCAAGTTGCTGAGCAGTGATAACTGCCAGTGCCTCTTGGGAGCGTAGTACCTGAAGTTCGGGGATCCCCAACCACATCCTGTGACAATGACAGCGGATGAGCTGGTTTTCTTTGTGAACGGAAAAAAGGTAAGGTGGAGCCGGCCGGCCTTTGGTCTGTCTTCTCTGGTCCCGTGGAAGGGAAGTTTGTCCTTCGGAGGAGGGCTATTCTCTCTCTTTCATATTCTCTCTTACTGTCTCTCCTTTCTTTCTCTCTCTCCCTCCGAAGTGTTGCTGCATTTTGGGTAACACTGGGGAACGAAAACCTTGTCAGATATAGAACACAGTCAAAACATTCTAGGGTCAAAGCAGTGCCCAGGAGGCAGGTGATAAGAGAGGTGTGCGGCAGCAGAGACGCTGGCACAAAGCTGAAAAAGGGCACAGTGTCCTGGGTGGGACTGGATGTCGTCCACATGCCTCCATCGCTGTGTTTATTCCAACACATTGAGGCTTTCGTCATTCTCTTTACTGAGAGTAGGAACATGAACTTGTTTCCTTGCTAATATTGGGATATAAGATGTACATAGCCTTTGATTCTGGTATCTCATGTATGTAAATGTGACAGATTACTTGTGTGAGGACATTTACTGACATCTTGTGGCAAGCCACAGTTTGTTTTTTCCCATAAAGGGCATGTTTCTCTCCCCTCTTCCCCCCTAGTATTGCAATAAATATTTCAAGTCTCTTACTTTGATAAAAATTGCCCCCTTGGATGATCTCCATTGATGCACAGGGACGTGGGGAAGGTAGGAGTAGGTGGAACAGAGGGGTCTTAGGCTGTGGGTACCAATTTTCCCAGCCTCTTCCCAGTGATAGTGTTACTCGGTGCGTTAGTGTTGGGAGGCACAAGATGTCTGCCTCCTCCTCCATTATTTGGGATGTGAACTGTGATCACTTGGTTATGGTGGTATCCACCAGTTTTCTCCACAGTAAAATTACTTTTTTACCTTTTATAGTTAATCAATAATCTATGAGAAGACACTTTAAGTCTGTGAAACTATCTTCATGAATAACCTTCACCCAGTAGTTTTAGCTCCCGTTGATGATTCTTGACTTGGTCAGTTATTGTGCTGATTGCAAGATTAGGCTAATTGTATTCATTAGTTGGCTTCTTCTGTCAGAAAGAACTTTCTTTCTCTCGATCTGTTTACTTATTATATATCACTTTGGACTCATAAGTTTTAATTTTATTTAATGAGTTATAATCCATTAAAGCTACTATTCATTTTGCTGCTGAAATTTTATCAGAGCAATTTGCTGAGCCTAGCATTTTCTAAACTCATATACCCATGAAGTGTTTGTCCTTTGGAATGCCCACTGGCATCTTGTTGAGAGAGGGTTCTGTGGAAATTGCTGGAGCAGCACTGCAGCCGTGCTATGAGAGTGGTGCAGCCATTCTGTGTAGGAATTCAAGGAAGATTGGACCACTTGTGACTGGGGTGATATACAAAATCGTTGCCAGGGAAGTTTCACTGGAGTAAAAGACTAGGTTGTCAGGAAAGGAGGAGAAGAAAAAGCTGAAAATTAAGATTGGGGACATAATGGAAAAAGGCCTCAGAAGACAGTGTAAGGACCTTGGATGTTATCTTGAACATGTGGGAAGTCACGGAAAGCACGGAGCAGGGGACAGATGTGATGAAAGCCGAGCTGGAAGAGGAAGCTACAATTTGAGGGGAGGGTAGTCAGCTAAGAGGCTCTTCCTGCCACTTGCAAGAAAGGCGATAGGGATCTTTATTTGTGTGTTTATGACTTCTCTGAGAGAAAAGAAATAGTTCCTCCTGTGCACTTTGTAACCAGGAATTTGAACAAACTGGATCCGTGGGGTGTAATAAGAGAAAACGAATCTGATTCTCCACTTTCCTTGAAACATTCTTCAAGAGGCAAATGCTGGCAGTGTTATGACTTTTTGGGTGGCTCCTAATCACTAACGAAGTCCTAGGGTCATTTCTAAGTTTCCATTCACAGTCTCAATTCAAGATAGAACACCAACATTCTCTCTTTTGCATGGGCTACACTAGGTCCACAGGCAACACCTAGCAAACCTTTGCTCTCCCAAACTCTGAGAGTGCACCCCAATGCCAATACTGCCCTTTCTTCTTCAGCTCGCCTGGTAAGCCTATCTCTAGCTTTTAGATACGCAGACCATTCTATCCCCCATTCTACAAGGGCTGTCTGTTAGCTTCACATGTAGGGTTATGGGAGCCCCCTCACAGAGTTTGAGGTGTGAGGTACATACCTTCTCTCCTCAACCTTAGGAAGATGTAAGACTCACAATGCCATTCTCTCTAAAGAAATTCTTGTCATAAATTCTCTGTCTTTAATCATCCCAGTCACCCCAACCCTATTACCCTTGACAATGTATGATGAATATGAGTAGTGAAACAGGTTGTCATGGATTTCCTTTGACTATTTGCATTGAAAAAACTGGCACCTCATTTTGTAGGCAACATTTTCATCTTATTGAGTGTATCATTTGTGGACCTTTGGGTTGAGAGTTCTCCTCCACGTGTGACATGTGTTAGTGGTGTTGGCTGTGATAGCCCAATGCATACAATAGTCCCTGTGTGCACAGGGGAACAGACACACTCTCTGCTGCCTGAGAATGTATGTGCTGGGGGGCATAGCTGCCCCTCACATTCACAGGTGTGATCCAACAGCTGGAAATGAGATGACATGTTTGATTTGAAGGGGGCTCTGCCTTAGCCACCTCAGAATGGCAGGTGCAATACCTGAGCCCTCTGTGGTAGGTCCAGAGAGAAGCACTAAAGTAGAATTTTAGAATTGGAGAATATCGGCATGTATAGAGGGTGGTTTGTGGTTCATATGTTCATTCTTATGGAATTATCAAGAAAAAGACCTTGGTTTTCATGATATATTTAGCACATCCCTATTAGCTCCACAGACTCTTGGGCTAAGTCTACCTAGGATATATTTTTCTTCTGGTTTTATTCTTATAGGTGGTGGAGAAGAATGCAGATCCAGAAACAACCCTTTTGGCCTACCTGAGAAGAAAATGTATCCTGACTTCGGAGGAGGAGGGGGGGTATGAGAAGTCATTCTCTAGGCCTTATGTCATTTTCCAGTGATGGTGGGAGGCCATGAAGTGTCGAGGACAGAGCCCTAGAGCCAGGCTCTGGACGTCTGCATTATAGCTGTGTGACTCAGCAGCTGTGTGACTCTGGGAAGTCATCTGAACTCTCCAGGTGTAAAATTATCAGCTGTCAAATGAGAGGATTCTTCTTGATGTTTCTCAAGATCTCAAGTGGTGCCAAGATTTAATCCAGGGTGTGTAAAATGAATAGCTGTGAGTGGCTCTCATTAGCCCTGGTAAGCTGCACAGCCATTCCCCTTGAGGAGAGGGCCTTCCTCAGATCTCTGCTGATCCACAAAGGGATCAGCAGTCTTCCTGGGCAATCTTCCTAGTTCTGTGAAGGTGGAAGGAAGGTCAGAGGAAGGAGTGTTTTTTGGGAAAGGGTGCCTGGGCTAGGGAACTGTGTGGAGGTACCATCCACTGTGGAGATGGTGGGTACAAGGAGGCAAGGACAGGGGAGTCCTGAGGGGCACCTGGGATGTTACTCTTCCTTCAGCACAAGCAGGGTTCTGTAACATCTAAGACCTTGTGTTCTTTCAAAGTAGGAAGGTATTCTGAGACCCTAGTACAGAAACAACAGTGCAAATATAATCGGAGCTGGCATTTAATGAGCACTTACTAGATGTAGATAGAGTTTAAGCTGATTTTTGTACATGATCTCACTGATCCCCATAGCAGTTCTTTTGACACAACTTTGGACAGAGGAGGAAGTGAGGCCAGCACATGAGAGGGACCTGCTGCTTGTTCATGTGTTCTGGGCAAATGCTGGCAGAGCCCAGGCTAAAACCCAGAGCTATGCTCTTAACCTCCCACCCATGATGGAAACCCTTCAGGGTTGGTTGTTGGGATGATGCTCATCCTGACTTCCATCAACAAACCTCTCTCACCCTCAGAGGCAGGGATGTCCAGTGGCTCATTCAGGTGACATATTTTAGGACAACAAAGGATTTTTTTCAGTTCCCACAGAAACAAGTCTGAAGTCCATGGCCTTACCTCTGGTTCACTCATCTCTTATCAGATGGTGTCTGGCTCTGCAGTACTTTATCCTGGAGTTTCTATCTGGAGAGGGCAAGTCTGGAGTTTCACGGTCCCTGAACTTGGTGGCTCTTTGTCAGAGGTGGAATCCCTCAGTAGGATCAGGAGACTACACAGAACTCTATTTCCAGTCTCCCTACCTGGGAGGCCTGAGAAAAGAGGCAATTCTCAGAGATGGTTGACATTAGTTTTAGTTTTCTGATACAGTGTTGAAGGCCCCAAAGTCTCAGACATTCCTGATCATAGCAATTGCTAATTTAAAGGTTGAATCTCAAATGAAATCCCAAACTGAAAGTCTTCACATAAATGAAGGCCAGGTGGCTTTTTGCTGTTTGTGGTGAGAGTTAATTTCTGGAAGTTCTTGAAAAGAAAGAATAAGAAGAGGGGGGAAAAAGAAAGAGCCCAGTCTTAATTTCTACACTGGCTTGCAAAAAGATCTCCAGGTCACAAGATTTTGCTGGACTTTGGGTGCTACCATTTGTTTCCCCATGCCTCTATATTGTCTGATTGCTGGTAATGACATATTCTGATGAGTGAGAAGAATAACTTAGGACATCAAGATTTCTTCCCGAATGTGTTTTGAAAGAGCAGCCACATGGTGAAGGGGGAGCCCCCAGATCTGGAGTCAGATGATTTTGTTTGGGCCCTTACACATGGTAACATGAGTGACTGTCTTCCTTGCAGGGCTCACATTACCTCCTGGGACTCAGTTTGTTTTGTTTTGTTTTGTTTTAATCTGTGGGGAAATGGTAACTCCTACCCCACTTGCTCACTAAAGTATTGAGAAGATTAAATGATTCCATGGATGTCAAGTAGTTTTCAAGTGTAAGATGCTATGTCATCATTAGTTACTAATTTTGTCTTGCAAATGTGGGAAATGACCAGTGATAATGACCTCCATCTTTGGTAGATAACTGGGTGGCTTAGAGGCCCGGAGCCTGAAGGGAAAGCAGCAGCAGAGACTATGCTACAAGCAAAGGGGCTGCTTTAAGTGTTGTTCTCTAGAATAGCCTATTACTTAGGCATGTAAGCAAACTCAAAGTTATCATGTAAGAGATGGTTGCAATATTGGTCCCAACCTCGATGAATCTTCATTTTATTTTACATTCACATAGCTTATGGGTGGATATTCAGAAGCCCCTCATCCAACCCTACTTTTGGTTCCTGGACTTAATCAACCAAAAGGTTCAAGGTGAAAAGGTGGGACTCAGTAGGTCCCAGAAGAGATCAACGTCTCTTTTGTCTTCATTGAATACCCATGCGGGGTGATTTGAGGGCCACCCAAGTGCCTGGTTCACTTGCCCAGTGAGACCACGGGTTGGGAGCCTAGAAGACCATGCCAGGAAGATCTCAATGTGAAGAAGAATCTCCAGGATTGGACAGCAGTGGGACTCCAGTCCCAGGGAATACTTGAGTGCTGTCTGATAGGACCCTGTTACCTTTCCTCTTCTGTGCAGTGGGGATGGTCTCATTCTCTACCTCCAGGGTACAGTGTGGCATTTTCTGGAAGAGGAGGCTGTGTGGGTCTGCTGCCTCCCTGGGTTGAGGGGCCTGAGCCTGGGTGTGGCAACGGATGGCTCTGCACAGACACTTCCCAGCGGCCCAGCAAAGACTCTTCTGTGAGTTCATGTTCCTTAACCCTCCACCATCCAGTGGGGCTGAGCGGGACCAAGCTGGGCTGTGGAGAAGGGGGCTGCGGGGCTTGCACNCAGTAGGTCCCAGAAGAGATCAACGTCTCTTTTGTCTTCATTGAATACCCATGCGGGGTGATTTGAGGGCCACCCAAGTGCCTGGTTCACTTGCCCAGTGAGACCACGGGTTGGGAGCCTAGAAGACCATGCCAGGAAGATCTCAATGTGAAGAAGAATCTCCAGGATTGGACAGCAGTGGGACTCCAGTCCCAGGGAATACTTGAGTGCTGTCTGATAGGACCCTGTTACCTTTCCTCTTCTGTGCAGTGGGGATGGTCTCATTCTCTACCTCCAGGGTACAGTGTGGCATTTTCTGGAAGAGGAGGCTGTGTGGGTCTGCTGCCTCCCTGGGTTGAGGGGCCTGAGCCTGGGTGTGGCAACGGATGGCTCTGCACAGACACTTCCCAGCGGCCCAGCAAAGACTCTTCTGTGAGTTCATGTTCCTTAACCCTCCACCATCCAGTGGGGCTGAGCGGGACCAAGCTGGGCTGTGGAGAAGGGGGCTGCGGGGCTTGCACAGTGATGCTTTCCAAGTATGATCGTTTCCAGAACAAGATCATGTATCCTTTGCCTGATGGTTGAGTGTCTATGCAAGGACTGTGATATAGGGGTCTGGTTGTTAGTGTGTGTGTGTATGTGTGCATGCCCATGAGACCTTTCTAAGATCCAGACTCGTTTCCTATCCCATGAAATCCTTCAATTGGTCTCCACTGCCTGTGGGATAAAGTCCAATTTCTGTGCTTAGCACTCAAGGCCCACACAGGAAGGAGTGTCCCATCTTTGCTCTCCAGTTTTCTCCCTTTGTGCACCAAGGACTCTGTCCTGGGGACAACTGTGGACTCCTAACACTCTCTGCCCACTGATTTCCTATTCTTGGAATAAGTTGTTACCAAGTCTTGAGTGTCCTTTTTCTAGGACTTCTGTACTTGGCTAACTCTTGCTAGCTCCTAAGGAGCGGGCAAAATATTGTCTCTTCCAGGAAGCCTTCCTTGACCTGCTAAGGTTGTATAGGGTACCCACTGGCTGTGCTGGTCCCACAGTGCCCTGTCCTCAGCCCTCCTGAAACGCTTACTGTAAGCTGTTTAGATTGCATCTTTATGCTGGCTTCTATTTTCCTGGGTTGACTGCAGACTATTAAAGAACATCTTACTCACCTCCATTTCCTCAGCCCTCAGCAGAATGCCTGGCATTTGCTGATGTTGAGTAAATGGATGAATGGTTATGAGAAAAGTGGACATCAGGAAGCTCTGTTTAAGGGGATGGTGTCTGATGTTTCCTGGGAATTGCCCCTCCCTTTACTCCACAGAGGATGGGAGAAAAGGATGTAGGTGAAAGCCAGGGAACAAAGTGAGTGGAGAGGCTATGGAAGGGCCCTGCAGAGAGAGGAGCATGTACTGAGCTTGGAATCTGCCAGAAACTTCCTCTTGACTCAGCCTCCATGGTTGGACTAAGAGGAGACTGCGGGTGACCCTGGGGCCCATGCTCCAGCTCAGAGGCTTAGGATGCACTGACGCCTGTTACAAAAGCCTTGGCAGGGGCTCGCGCCCCCCCACCCCTGGGGTGGGGTGCGCTTCCTTTGTTGCTGGCCCAGAGTCCTGGGTGGAGAGGTGAGGACAGCTGTGGAAGAGGTCAGAATGTAAAGCAGAGTGAAGAGTAATGACATAAAGCGTCTCGAAGTCTCTGATGGTTGTGTGGACAACGGAATGACCTTAATCTGGGCTCCAGCCACTTTTCTGCCAATGCCTGCCTGGCCCCCATCTGCTCTTTGCATCATGTTGCCGTGACAACTGTGGAAGGAATAGGAAGCACTAAGTCGAGGCTGCATCCTGTGCAGGTAACTGGAGGGAACGGAATCTTGTGCCAGGGCTGCAGACTTGCTTTGGGATGGGAAGCTGAGTGTCACTGCCTAGCCAGGAGGCTCTGTGGCCCAGCCACCTCGCTATCTCCTCTGGGGGTGGTGAGGTGGAAGGATGAGGCCCCAGGTCTGAAGCTCCCTCCTGTGGCCATTGCATGACCCCGAGGGGACCACAGGGCCAGCCAGATGTGGTGGACAGGGCAGTCCGGGTATGCCAGCCTCAGAGGGGGAAGAGGTGAGGGACCTCCCCACCCAGCCCCCCGAGTGTGCTTAGGAAACCCCTGCCATCTCAAATTCAAGATTCCAAA